TGCCTAACCTCTTTAAGCCTAAGTTTTCTCGGCGTGGTTCAGGACATCTTTTCATGTATCCACATAATAGAGCTATCTATTGGTTGTTTTCAAAACTCTAGTTACTCAAAATCCAAGACAGTTGGAGATTCTGTGTCGAAGGAACCGCTTAAAAAAAAAAAATCCGAGACAGGAATCTCAAGATAATACTACTTATCTCTCAGGGTTGTTGGAACATTAGCTGAGATTATGTTTATTTAAAAATGAGGAAACAAACTGAAAGAAAGCCTGCTGGCCACGGAGGGGGCGCTTAACAGTGCCCTCTCCAAGAGGGCAAGAGCCCTGTCTTGTGACTTGGACAGAGCAGGAGCTCAGTCGACATATGTTCAATACTTAAAAAAAAAAGAAAAGAAAAACAACTTGGATTCTGAATGGTAACAGATCACATGGGAGAAACTGAGGCTCACCAAGCATCAGTGTAAGGGGCACTTCTTGGGTGCCTCAGTTGACACCACGCAGAGCAGGTATCAACAGGTGTCACACCAAGCGCAGCAGCCCATAGAATTGCTTTTGTTTGTTTGTGAAAGTGCTTTATATTTTTATTTTAATTCTTTATTTGTTCTTTTTAGTTACACATGACAGTAGAAGGTATTCTGACATACCACACTTACATGCAGTATAACTTCCCATTCTGGTAATTAGATACCAGGTGCAGTTACACCGGTCACATGTATTCATACGTAAACATAGGAAAGTTCATTCTACTGTCTTTCCCATTCTCAGCCCCCTCCCTTCCGCTCTCCTCCAATCCAATCTGGTGAACCTGGGCACTTCTCCCCACTCCCCGCTCCCCCCAGTCCAATCCTGTGAACCGCCACTCCCCCACCCCATTGTGAGTCACCATCCAATCCCCCACCCCATTGTGAGTCAGCAACCACACATCCGAGAGAAAATTATGAGGGAAAAAAAATCATTACTTCTGAAATCATTAAGTTTTCAGGAGGTTTAATAAGATAAGTGAAACCATATTTCTAGATCATTCCTTTAAAAAAAATCAATAAAGAAGCACCCAAAAAATAACGAAAACTTTTCTCCTACATGAATGTCTGTGCTGGTACATCACCCGTCTCTGCAAAGCATTCCAGAGTCTAAACTTTTTTCTCTTGTGTTTCTGACACGCCAAGAGTGAAGTCCAAGATTGTACGCCACCATGGCCAAGTTCCGGGCAGCAAGAGAGGAAAGAGGAATGGAAGGCACCCCCTTCCTTTTAGAAAAAGTAGTTGCAGGAATCTGTTCTGCCTGCAGAAATGGCCAGAATTTAGTGGCTTCACATGATCCCTCTTAGTCATCTGACCCAGGAAAGAGATGCTGGGAAATACTGTTCTTACGCTGAATAGCCACGTACCAACTGAAAATGGAGGGTTCTGTCATTGAAATTGGTCTTGAAAATCAGGATGGGGTCTGGTTCCCCCAGCGTTGAAGATTGAACACCTGAGAAACGCTGGGGCAAAAGCAGAACCTTTCGTTTAAAGGGTAGCACAGACGGGTGGTGGGAGACTTCTCTGGAGAGGAGGGGGTCCAGAACTGGTGTTCAGGGAGTAGGTGTCTTGCCCCTTTTATAGATTTTAGGTTTCCTTTCTTCTCATGGCCCCTCCTCCTCTTATCTTGCTTACAAGGTCAACAGGAAAGAAGCCACACAAGGGTGCTTCTCCCTATTTTCCAGATCTGCCCAGAAAGGCAGGGAGGGAGCAGCCCAGGGGGGGACTCCTTAACAACCCCTCGCTGGGAGGAGCAATTCCCGGGAGGCTCTTGCCGAGGGGTGGGAGGAGGGGGAATGCTCCGAAGGCCTCTGCGAGGTGTTTGAATCAGCTCCGATCTTCTGGACCCGGCTCTTCACCCTCTACTCTTTGACTTTCCTTTGCCCCAGTCTCATGGCTGTGAGTAAAGGAGAAAACACAGGAAGGAAAATGAGAAAGGGAGAGGTCGCCAGATGATTGGAGAACCCAGGAGCGAACCGGAGTCCAAGAGCATTCATAATATCTGTCCTGCCGAGCTTCAGAATTGCTGCTGCGTCGAAGAGGTTTCTGGTTCCAAATGGGAGTGTCTACGGTGGGTCCATGACACACCACTAGAGGTTGGGAATGGAAGGGGTAAAATACCTTGTATTTGGGGGTCTGTGGATTTGTTCTTGAGATTCACACCCCCCCCCCGCCATGTCTAGATCACTTAGGTATCAGAACTTGAGGTTGATACACTATCGGGTTGGCGGGGACTGGGAGTATCTTTCCAGGGAGTGATGAGTGTATTTTACAAGCAAGAAGGGAAATGACCTGAGCTTTTTAGTAACTGAATGGGTGGATTCTGGTACTGAAGAGTGCTCTCCGCCTGGTGCTTTCAGCTTGATTCTTTTCAGGTCCACGCAGGCACTCCACTTCCCTATATACCCTGAAGCTAGTCAGGGCTACGGGACATGCTTTGACCAGTGGAAAGTGAGTGGCGGTGACATGAGTCCACCTGTGACTTTCTACTTTCCCTTCCCACTCTTGCGTCAGCAGGGAGCCTTCTTCAGCCGACCATGAGCCGAACCCCTTGCTGGTATGCAAACTGTGTGAGCAAGAAATAAACTGTACTGTGCAGAGGCACTGGAGAGCGGTGTGTTCCTCAGCGTAACCAGCTCAGCCTATTCTGACCAACAGGCCATCTTCAGGGGGAGGAGGAAATATCAGCTTGGATGACCAAATTCGGATTTCTTTTGTTGTCCTTACCAAGGCAGAGCCTGGGTCATGTGACCTTGAATTCTGGCCAGCAGGTTGTGAGCAGAATTGATTCCTATAACTAGTGTTGCTAAAGCGCGGGAGTGCCTTTCTTTACTGTCCCCCGTGCTGACTGGAACTTGGCCAGGCACTGTGCCATCTTGGACCGTGAAGACCAGGGCTTTACCCCTGGCACGTGACAGACTCAAGAGAAAGAGTGTGGGCTCCGGTCTGTCATCAGATCAGAGCTGATGTACCAACCCAGACTTTGACCTAAGAGAAAACTGTGTCTCTTTGCCTATTTCAGCATCTAACTGTCCCTTCTGGCTTGTGAGGTGCAGAGGGCACAGGGGTAGAGTAGGGGAGAATAAGTTCTGAGACACAGGCATCCTGACGTCCCTCCTCCCAGCTGAAATCCCGGGAGTGGGAGGCCTGATATTTAAGGTGGAAGCTGTAAGCCAAGGGGCCTTTGTCCCCTTTCTTCTTAAGGTTCTGACAAGGATAATGTCAATGGGCACAACCCTGTGGGGTGTGAGCCAGCCACATAAAAGGGAAAGAGGCAGAAGTTTCCAAGTGTCCCACGGGGAAAACAAAAGGCGCCTGGTGGGTCCTAGGCTTCCTTTTGGAGGAAAATTATCTTACCTCCCGTGTCCCAATTTTCCCCAGAGCCAAGCCCCTCAACTCTTTCTCCTGCACTGGGCTCCTGACTCCCCTGACTTGGAGGAAGAAAAATAGCAAGGGAAGGAGGAAATGAGTTTTCAAGGGTACGGGAAGCAATAGCAGGGAATTCTCTTCCCCCAGCCTCAGCTATAAGGTCTGCGGGTGGGGAGGTCTTGGTTTCAGAAAACGTCAGACATCACCCATGCTGTATGTATTAGCTTTCTGTTACCATAATGAAATGCCTGAGATAATTAACTGATAATGGGAGAAGGGTTATTTTGGCTCGCCATTTTGGAGATTCTAGTCCAAGACTGGACAGATCTAATACTTGGGGCTTCTAATGAGGGTGCCACATGGCATTGGCAGGGAGTCCCCCGTGAAGCAATTACTCACCTTATGGCCAGGAAGCAAAGAGAGATAGGAAGTGGCAGGGACCCCAAAGACCTAAGGACCTCATATCAGGTCCAACCTCCTAAAGGTCCACAGCACCTCCCAATAGCAACACCCTGGGGACCAAGCCTTTAACAGTATCCCCCTTGGGGGATACTGGGTGCCAACCATAGCAACTTGTTTAACTTCCAGCAGGGCTGCAGGGCTTGGAGCACAGTCAAACTACCCCCAGCTCAGTCACCAAGTGGGGAGGCCCCAGCTCTTCATGTCACAATGCAAATCTGCTCTGCAGCATCAACCTTGCTCCATAGCAATTATTTCAGAAGGGCATTTGGTCATGTGGAGAGGGGGAAGGAATCCAGGCAGGCTGCAAAGACCTGGCAAAAATCTAGAGTGGGACTGAGACAGGGTGCAATGTGACTGTGAAATGGGGGCTAGAAGATTCTACAAATGGAGCTAGTGACAGAACACAGTGGGGAGTGTATCACATAGTGATAAAGAAAAAGTTCCTAAGGTCACGCCCCCATGCTTGGGATATGTTAGGATGGGGAGACATTTTGGGGTGCTGTCAGCTGAACCCCTAGACCTGGAATCTTTAGTGGTTGGAGGTCCCCGGGGAGTGTATGCCCATTGCCTGGACCCTGAGGACTGTCGACCTGCAGGACTCCCTTTCGCCTGACCTGTCTGCCTGCCATAGCAGCAAATGAAATGGTTCATCTCCCTTCTCTTCCAGCCCTTGAACCCTAGTTCAGACCACATCCTCCTTCACCGTCAAATGAAACTGTCCAGTTTCAGGGTCCACAGTCCCCCCTCCCCCATACACACACTCTGCTAAAGGTGACTGCGGCAGCTCTCAGGCCAGAGCCCGCTGTGATTTGAGGGCCGTTAACGCTCAGTGAAGCACTTACCCAGCACGCAAGGTCCTGCGCTCCACCCCAGCCACGGCAGGGAGTCATGGGAGTCCCCACACCGTCCACCCCCAATAGATGCCCAGTGAGGATTTGTGAATGAACGAATGCGCACCAGGTGGGGACCCCAAAAGGAAGGTGGAATGCTCGGCCTGGGGGCAGGGCAGGGCGTGGCGGGCAACTCCCCACCCCACTCCACGCCCCTCGCACTCGGCTGGGAGCTCGGGGATGGCTGAGTGGGAGGGGATTTCCCTGCCCGCTGAACAGATCAAGCTCTTCGCCTCCATCGGACATCCCCAGAGAGGTCCCCGGCAGGTTCAGGCAGGCAGAAGTTCAAGAGCTGGGCGAGGTGGCCGAAGCTTCCTTCTCTTCCGACCGCGCTCCGGGTCCCCTCGCCCTGCCCGCAGCGATGCCGGAGGAGGGCTGGGGCTGCACCGTGCGCCGCTCGCCGTGGAAGACCGTCTCGCCCTACGTCTTCTCGGTCATCCTCTTCGCTCTTTTGGCGGCCTTCTGCTTCCAGCGCCACGCGCAGCAGCCGCCGCGGCTCGAGCGACTTGGGGTGAGTCGAGAAGGAACAGTGGAAAGGAGGCACCCTCGTCCCCAGCTCCCGGGGCCCAGGGACCTCCGGTGGGGAGCCCGGGGGAGGGGCGCAGGGGCCGTGCGCCGGAGCGCCAGGGACAGCCTAAGAACGGAAAAGACAAAATCGAAATGAAACGATTCAAAGCAAGATCCTGTAGCGCAGAGAGAGCGGCGGAGCAGGAGGCCCCGCAGGGCCCCGCTGCCCGGGAGGGGCGGGGGATCCCGGGTGGGAAAGGTGCATCCGACTCGCGCAGGGACGATGACTCGACCCTGGTGTTCCCCCGCGGACTGACTCAGAGGCTGCTAGGGGCTTCACAAAGCTGGCATGGGGGGCGGGGGCCCTGGGGAGGGGGCTGCCAGGGCAGGAGAGCCAGCAGCAGCCGGTGAGCCCGGCCGCCTGGAGACGCTCGGGCCGCTGCTGGAGGGAGGCGGGTGTGCGGGCCGCTCCACCCTCGTGGTGGCTCCGGGAGGGAGATCCAAGGCGCAGAGTTCCAGGAAAAGTAGGAAGTTCTTTTCAAGGTTTTGGCTTTGATCTCTCTGTCGTTCAAACCGACTTCCTCTTTAAGAGGTCTTTCAGAAATCACGACTGGGCCCGGAGGGTGAGGAGTGGACCAGAAGACGCCGGGCCAAGGGGCGTGGAGCTCTGTGCTCACGTCCACTCTCTTTTCTGCTCTTTTCTTCCAGGAGGACGTAGCCGAGCTCCAGCTGAACCTCACAGGTAACTCTGGTCTAGTGTGTGTGTGTGGGGGGGGGGGACACGGAGAGCCGGGAGGGCAAGTCCAGAGAGCGGGAGCCCGAGTGTGGGCCCTGCCGGACACCACCTTCCTGATAGACCGTGTGCTCTTCCCTTGGAAAAGACTAAATCGGCCACCCTCACCCCAGAGCTGGCGCTTCCTTCATTCTTTTCCACCATGTGGAACAAACGCCACTATAGGTGCCACTGTGGTGAACAACGCAGGCAAAGCCCCTGCGCTGGGGAGTGTCCTGCCACCCAGGGGGTCTGACAGTGAGCGAATGGGCTCGCTTACCAGGGCAGCTCTGGACGGAGCGCTGCCCAGCCTTTGCGGCCCTGGCTTCCCCCAGCACCTTCCCCAACACAAACTCACAAAGGGACAGGAAGACAAGTGGAGGGCCGCAGGCAAGGGGAAGAATTAAGCCAAGTGGGGGGTTGGGACTGCCATATGAAGTGGGGCCCCCCGCTCTGCTGTCTTGGGGAAGAACTTCTAGCCTCTCCCTAATGCCTTTGGGCCCTGGCCCCCTCTGTGTGTGGCTGCCTGTCTGCCTCCCTCCCTCCTCCCCTCCCCCCTCCTCCCCCCCCTCCCCTCCCCTCCCCTCCCTCCTCTAGCTGGCCTTGCAGTTCTCTGGAGAGTGGCTGTGGGCTCTGGCACTGCCCTGACACGCTCCAGGACATTTGGTCTGGAGTTTACAATGTGTCCTCCCTAGGATGCTTCTTGGTCCTGGCAGATGGTCTGTTTGCTCAAGTGCCCAACCCATGACCAGGTGTCCCTCTCACCGGAAGCTTGACACTGGCAAGCCCTCTGGTGGCTCTCCTCTGACCTGCGTCCAGCTCATGCCTCTCACGATGGCCCCTGTCTGGGAGCCTGACTGGGAGGAGAAGGAGACTCAGGTGTGCCTCAGGAACAGGATGAGACTGAAAGTGGTGCACGGGGGAGAGAGAGGCAAGAGCCCCTCTGGACCTTGTATTGGCCTCACCGCGGCCTTTTCTTCTTGAAAGGCACAACAGGAACTGGGTAAAAGAGAGAGAAAAACTGAGAGTGGTCCCTGTGGCATAGCTGTACAGGCTGTTCAAGGTGCAGGGGTCAGGGGACGAGTCACAGAGGCCGCAAGTGGCTGTCCTCAGGGAGGTGGCCACCTGGGAGTAGTCATGCCCAGCACAGATCTGCGGAAGTGAGGAGGCTGAGGACCATGTCACTGGTGACCGAGCCCTGCTTCTGGCACGAGAACGCCAGCTCACATTCGAAATGATGAAAGGCGGAGAGAAGCCCAGGACCCCGCCACTGTCCCTCCTTCCCTCCCTCCCTCCCTCCTCTCTGCCCCTCTGCCTGCTGCCTGTGCTCCTCTGGGTCTCCTCCGTGTCTCTGCTTCCCTCCCTCCTCCTTCCCCTTCCTGCTCCTTGTCCTCCTCCCTTTGCCCCCTCCCTCCTTCTCCCTCGAACTCCCTATTTCTGTCCACCTTGGTTTCCCTAAATTCCACCTTCTGTCCCCCTAACCCTCTGCCCCAGGTCCCCGGCTGGACCCCAGGCTGCGCTGGCAGGCGGGCCCAGCCTTGGGCCGCTCCTTCCAGCATGGACCACAGTTGGTCAACGGGCAGCTGCTGGTGGTTCGTGATGGCATCTACAGGCTGCACATCCAGGTGACACTAGCCAACTGCTCCTCTGTGTGGACCACGGTGCCTCCCAAGGCCACTCTGATTGTGGGCATCTGCTCCCCAGACACCCACAGGATCAGCCTGCTGCGCCTGAGCTTCCACCAGGGCTGCACTGTCACCTCCCAGCGCCTGACAGCCCTGGCCTTTGGGGACACCCTCTGCACCAACCTCACCCTGTCTCTGCTGCCCTCCCAAAATGCTGATGAGACCTTCTTTGGCATTCAATGGGTGCATACCTGATCAAGGTTCCTGATTGGTTTATTTGATCATTTTTTTTTGTTTGTTACTATTTTCCCCATTTTGGGGGTGGGGGGGTGGGGGGGGGCAGGGCTGAGTGTGGGACCCAGGGCTTCCTACCGGATGCTAGGCAAGCACTGTATTTTTAGCCACATCCCCAGCCCTTATTTTGAAACGGGGTCTCACTGAGTTGCCTACTCAGGCTGGCCTCAAACTTGCCATCCTTCTGCCTCAGCCTCAGGAGTCCTGGGATTATAGGACTTGCTCCCCGATACCAGCTCCTCCTTGATACACCTGTTGGATAGGCAGACAGCTTCCTGGGATGGACAGGAGCTACCTCACCAGCCCTGCTCAAAGCCGTGAAAATAAGAGCAGTGCTGTAGCATATCACCTCCCAGAGGATCCTAAGACACACAACGACTAACTGTCTTGGGAGAGTTATTGGAAAGAAAAAGTATAATAAATAGAAAATAAGAAATTGTAAATGAAGTGTGGGCCTTGCTTGATGATAATACATCTACCTTGGTTCATTAATTGTAACAAAGGTATCAGACTAGTAAAAGATACTGTCTTGGTCCTTTGGGATGCTGTAACAAAACACCTTAGACTGGGTATTTTATAAACAGCGTAACAACCTAAGTATGTTGCTCACAGTTCTGGAGGATGGAAGTCCAAGATCAAGGTACCAGTGGATTTGGTGTCTGGTGTGGGCTTCAAAGATGGCAGCTTCTTCAGTGTCCTCAGAAGGTGCCAGGGCCTCCCCCAACCCCTTTCATAAGGACCCAAAGGTGGAACCCCATGACTTAGTTACTTCCCAAGGAATCCACCTGTTCATGCCATTCTATTGGGCATCAGGTCCAGCACATGACGTACAGGGTGTACCTAGACCACAGCAGATGTTAAAAAGAGGAACATGTGCATGGGGTATGTGGGAATTTTGAACATTCACTAATCAATTTTCCTGTAAGTCTAAAACTGTCCTGAAAATAAAGGCCATTAATATTTTTAAGTTAATAAATAAAAGTGACTCACTTTGTGGGAGGATATCTCAGCAGGTTTCAAAATCAGCACTGGGTTTGTGAAACTGGAGCCTCCAAGGGATCTCCACAATAGACACCAGAGGAGGAGAACAGATGTGAACCAGAAACTTCCTCTAGTATGCATTCGTGCAGGGTGGCATTGTTTACAAAAGCCAAAAAGCAGCCCACCTGACAAACACAATAGGGTCCACCCATGCCATGGAATATCACACAACCTTGAAGATATAGATGAGCCCTGAGGACATTATGGTCCATGAAGTAGACATATCTGGTCTGATCCCATTCACAGGAGGTCCCTAGAGTCTTTGGATCCACAGAGAAAGAAAGTAGAATGATGGGTGGGTTAGGATGGGGAGTTCATGTTTAAGGGGGACAGAGTTTCAGTTTGGGAAGATGGAAAGTTCTGGAGGTAGGTCGTGGTGATAGTTACACGACGCTGTGACTGTGTTTCATGCTGCTGGACTGCACACCACGGTGACTGTTATAAATTTTATGTTATGTGTATATTGCCACATAAAAAATTAAAATATAATCAAACAATAATGGAAGGTTTCCGACTCACCATCCTCCAATCCCTACTACATAAAGACTCCCAGGGAAGACAAGGGAGGGCTGGGTGGGGATTAAGAGTTTAGAGATTGCTAGGTGACTGAGAAAGGGTCCCTCAGGCCTTTCCTTGAGGGAGGGACAGAAATTCCAGGGGGCTGTGGAGAAGCATCCCACCATGTGGGGCAGAAGGGAAGTCCAGGAGTGGTCCAGGGTCCGAAATGACTCGGGACAGCCTCTTGGAATCCACCCACCACAGAGCCAGCGACAACCTGGGGGTGTGGCACTGGGAGCAGCTCAGTCTCTAGGGGGACTTGGGGACAGGGTTACTACGTGCAGGGACTAGTCCTTTTGATTTGAATAGGTGACACTTGTAATGACTTGTAATGGAAATATGGACATCTGCGATGACCTCATCTCACACACTGTCACTAACTCCTTGCACACACTTATAGGAGCAGCTTGTGAATGTGCACAGACCTGTGCCCTGTCTTCTCCTTGTCTTCTCCACTGCTCACAATAACTGTGAACTTTGCACCGTGCTTTTTTTTTCACTTAATGCATTTCCAGATCATTCCGCAAAGACTGACCCTGTCTGTTCTTCCTTTCTTTCCCTCTTTCTCCTTCTCTTTCCTTTTTTCTTTCTTCCCAGATTTAGTTTTTATTGATAAAGTTATCAAAGAAGCTATTATCTGTTATTTTACAATAAAAAATTAAATAGAAAACTTTGGACCCTACTCTTTGTGAGAAAAATTTTTTCAAAATCAATGACTGCTTTATTGTTGTCTGATAACTCCTTCCTAAGAATTGGTGATTAGCTAATTATGACGTCTTCCGAGGGCATTCTCCAGAGGGGCCCTGGGGGGTGGCAGTGGCCACTGCGTCTTCCCAGGCTTCTGTTAGCCCCCCAGAGCCTGTTACAGCTGCCTGACAGGAATCCCCTCAGCCTCACCTGCAGGGGTTCCTAGAAGTCCAGCTGGTGAGTCCAGGAGCTCGGGGTTTGTAATTTGGGCGTCTATTAGCATATGACAAGCTCTTCTGCATTCCTCTCCCACCGTGCAAGGGCAAGGGCTCGGGGTGAGGAGCGTTGGTAGAGGTGCAGCGTTTCAGGTTCCTTTGTGTCATTGCTGGTCAAAAGGAACGCTTTCCTCCCAGACGCTTGAGTCAGGCGAGGCCTTGGTATTCTGCTTTCTGTAGACACTTTTGGGGTGCTGGGGATGGAGCCCAGAGCCTTCCACGGGCCCAGCCCGTGGAATTTTTTTAAAATGGAAATGAAAACGTACGTGACATAAAATTAGCCCTTTTAGAAGGCACGATTCCGCAGCGTTGGGTCCACCCGTTAGTCCACCCCGCAGCACCTCTACCTAGTTCCAAAGCGGTTCTCATCGTCCCAGAAGGAAGCCCCGTGCGCCCTGGGGTGGATCCCCACTCCCTCCCCCCACCCCGGCCGCCACCCACCCGCTTCCCATCCCCCTGCGCTACCGCTCCCTGCTCTGGCCACCTCCTCTCAAGGGCGCCACACGATTTTGCTTTGACTTAGCCGTTGTTTTCGAGGTGCACCCCCGCGGTCGGCACCTCACTCCCTCGGATGGCTGGTTCCTCATCCCTCGCAGACCCGCTGCGGGGAACGGTGCTGCTTTGAACCGTGTGTCCTTGAACTTGGGTCCTGGTTTCCGATCTCCGGGGTAGCGCCTGGGGACAGCCTCGCTGGACCCTGTGGAACGCCTAAGCCTAACGTTTGGGGGAAACACCAAACCCCTCCGCCCTTTGCTCACCTTCTTTAAAAACCAGGCTCAGTCAGCCCTCGCTCACCGTTTTCTTCAAAGTCATATTAGGTAGAGCACCAGGAAGGGATATGGGGACAAAGGACGGGCAGCAGGATGAAGCAGCCATTCCTACTCTATGTAAATGCATGTCTGCGTGACCATGTGATTCTGCACCATGTACAGTCAGAAACGTGAGAAATCATACTCCATCTATGTAGGATCTATCACAGTGCATAAATGCATTCTACTGTCACGTATAACTAATTAAAACAAATTTAAAATTTTAAATAAAAATAATGACAAGAAAAAGAAAGGAAATTAGAGCCAGGTGTGGTGGCACACAACTGTAATCCCAGCAGCTTGGGAGCCTGAGGCAGGAGGATTGTAAATTCCAAGATTGTAAATTCTCAGCAACTGGGAGGCACTAAGCAATTCAGTGAGACCCTGTCTCTAAATAAAATACGAAATAGGGCTGGGGATGTGGCTCAGTGATGGAGTGCCCCTGAGTTCAATCCCCAGTACCAAAAAAAAAAAAAAAAAAAAAAAAAAAGGATATTAGCCCTTTGTCTCTAAAAAGTTACAAATCTTTTCTCCTCTCCTCTCCCCTCCCCTCCTCCTCCTCCTCCTCCTCCTCCTCCTCCTCCTCCTTCTTCTTCTTCTTTCTCTCTCTCTCTCTCTCTCTCTCTCTCTCTCTCTCTCTCTCCCCCATACAAAGAATTCTATATATTGAAGATACCCCAAGTTGGCATTTTGGCACACATGTACATTACAAAGTGACTCAAGCTAATTTGCATACTCCCCTCCCCCACCCACCTACGGCTTGGCTACTGCCAAATATTTCCTTTTCTATAGTGAGAACACTAACGGTCTCAGCAAACTTCTAGGGGACAGCACAGTATTGCTAACCTCAGTGACCTTGGTCTCCAGAGCCCCTCTGTGATGTGGAACTGAAACTTCCACCCTTTTGACCAGCATCTCCCATTGCCCCCTGGCCCAGCCCCCGGCAGCCACCACTGGACTCTCTTTCTGGGAGTGGAACTTTCTCAGATTTCACGTGGAAGTGAGGTAAGGCGCCGGATCTTTCCATGTCTGGCCTGTTTCTCTAACCTAATGTCCTCCAGGTTCTCCCCGGGGGGGGGGGGGGGGGGCTGTCCCAGTGCAATTTCATTCTTGTAGGTAAATGAATAAAACTCCATGGTGTACCTATATCACATTTTCTTTATCCATTTCTTCTGTTGATGGGCACTTAGATTGATTCCATAACTTTTTTTTTCAACCTGAGATATGCATTTTTAATGAATTTCTAATACAAGCAAGGTGGTATCAACATAAGTAAATAAATACATTGTGGATAGCTGAGTCCATAAATAAGTAAATAACCTGACTCCTTGAAATAGTGGCTGGAGATAAATAATGCTTACAAATTAATTATTTGAACAAATTAATATATAAATGCACTCCTTTGGAAAGCATTATAAAGGTTCATAACAAGAAATATTCAAATATAGTTTATAATTTATATATTTTAGTCAGTGATTCTATATACGTATATTGCATATATATATGAACATGTATATAGACATACTTATTTATTGCATAGAACTGACTGAATTTAAATGTATTTCTAGTTGTTTCAACACACCAAAATCATGTTAACATCTATGCAACATGACCAGTGAATATATA